ACAGGGGATTTTATATTCGAAAGTCAAGTTGTGAATGATTATAAAAAGCGGTCAGATATAGAATAGTTCGGTTGTAGTCCCAGAGTAGTTATCACAATTATTTATATTCTTTGACTGGTGAGTCTCCAGGTTGAATACAGGGATGTTAAGTTATGAATCTCAAAGCAAGTGTAGATCTTGTAAAAGCAGCAGAAATTGCAATAAGGGGGCTCACTTTTCAACGGGCAAAAACTCTAGTCTATAGAAAGCGATAAAAGAAAGGGGTAACGTGAGCGGAGGTAAGCAGAGCGGAGGTGGGCGGCGGAGTGCCAATGATGGGCAAACAAGTGGAATGACGAGCGGCACAGTACATGTATGTATATATATATAAGTGGTAGAGAGTGAATGAGAGGTGTTGTGTCTGAATTGTGCGTTACTTAATGGCTAGGTTTTCTTGGAGGAAGTGAGCAAGCGATATCGGTGTGTTAACGGAGGTATATGTATAATGTGAAAGTGGAGGAAGGAGATAATGTAAATATATAAACCGGATTATAAAGAATTCTTATAAATAGAATCGGACCTTAAGGGATTTACAACAAGACTTCAGTGACACCCAGAATTGGAATATTACAAAAAAGAAACCCTACTGCCACTAGGAGTTTCTGTGACCTAATAGACCATTGTCTATGTTCCATTAATTTTTCCAACTTCTGCATCATTAGTGGCTTTACCTTCTGTTACTTCTCCTCAGTCAAAATTGAATTCAGAACAGTAGTTAAGCAGGTCAACAAGGCTACCACGTACTTAACTACATTGAACTACCTTGAAAACGCTTTTGGCAAAAGACAACGCTTGAATAATCAACTCTTCTCATGCTCTAAACCAGTGAAAAGAAATTCTTCTATAATCAGAGTTTATATAAGTGTGAAAAAGATGAGAAAAAAGTAGAGATGAAGAATTTAATGATATTTCATCGTTTACTAATAAAGCTGGAATTGCTAATTCTATAAAGCTATCATGAAAAGCAGTAAAACTTATACTAAGAAAGCGGTAAAGTCTTGGCCAAGGGAGGAGGGGAAATCTCCACTCCCTTGGCCATTCCTGTGGGAACTCCCTAACAGAGTTGGAGCTCTCGAAGAATAGGAAGACAGCTAGAATGCACAGGAATTTATCGCTGAAAATACTCCAGTTGAAGTATATTTTACATTCAGATATCTGGCCCTATTTATAGCAAATAAGGAAAACGGTTGGAGGTGGTTATAAGTCAGTTTCAACCGCTAGGAAGTTAGGCAGTTGATGACAGTTTATTTTGTTGAAGCAGTTCCTGGCCATAACTCCTAGGATGCTTGCTTGACTTGTATCAGTTTGTAAGGGCTCAGATCTTCTTTGCTTATCGGATGGCTGGAGGGCATCAGGCAGCTAGACGAGCTTGCTTGTGCTGGCTGGTAACAGAATGGTTGTACCGCTGCAGTTGGTACACTTAGTCCATATTAGAGTTGGGCAGCGGTCATGCTGTAGCGGTGGACGTCTCGGCCGTCGCTTGCGAGCGGGAGAGACTGTCGCTTGTGAGCGGTGGAAGCTATCGCTTGCCTCTCTTGTCTTAGTTTTTCTGGGTGGTGTAATTGTCGCTTGCGAGCGGAGGTAGTTGTTGCTTGTGGCGTCTGCCTTAGCTTTTCTAGCACCAAAACACCGCTTAAAAAGGGCGAAAATCGTTAATAATCTCCACAAACAAACTATAGATCATGTCAAACGATATAAATCAATAAAGTATGCCTTTAACACGTTATGGTGACGTTTTTTACACGGAAATTCAAATAATACACAGGTTTGTCAAGCTAAGAATATGCTCATATTTGGAGTCATCAAGCAACGTCAAACAAGGAATTCGGAGCTGGGAGACGTCGAACAATAAAATCTGGATTGGGTTTGTTTTTTGTGTGTGAGAGCGATTGACATAGATAAGAAGAACTTAAAATGGTGGAAGGGTAAAATTGGGAGTTTGGGTATTTAAAGGAAACAATCACACATATACTCGTTTATTCCGCACGTGAAGACCAACCTCCGTTAACTTTTGACGTTGGAGTTATGTGCAAGGTTTTTTAAAACACAAAAAAGTGCTACGTAATTTCTGAAGTACGAGAGAAAAGATGCCGAGTTTCTAAACCACATGGGATATAGACAATTTTGCCAAAAATATATTATAAAATAAATAAATTTAGGATGTATATTCATCCAATTTTCCTCTCATGTACTTTTTGAGATTTATAAATATATTTATTTTTTCTGTTCAATTCAAATAAATAAATATATATATTTAATAATTATCAATCATACCACAAATAAATAATACTTTTATTTTTATATTTATCTATAATTATATTATTTCATATTATTACTTTTTTTTTCCTATAGCAATAATATATCATTACTTTTTAGTAAGAATATATTTACACAACGAAATAATTTTTTTCGTTTGTAAAAATATGCTATTTTTTCATTTTAATTTATCTATCAAAAGATACTTATATCATATTTAATAAAAATTATCATTGTTTTAAATTTTTATTCAATATTCTTTTTAGCTATTTATATCGTTCTCATTTATCTCACATATTTCTTACACTCCTTCAATTTTAGTTAAAAAATTATATTATTAATTTTATAAAATTCCAATTATATCCTTATAAAAAGCACAAAAGTAATACTAAAATAATATTTTGTTTTATTTTCGTGCCAAAAAAATCTGAACATAATTTTATAAGACACATGAAGTGTCCACTGCTATTATAATACTAATATTTTTTAATTTTTGTACCAAAAACAAATATTCACCTTAAAAGTGGATGAAAATGGTATAACATATATATATATATACATCTATACAATATATAAAATAATAAAACTTATTCACTCTTAAAAGTAAATAATTCAATATAAAAATATTATTTTTTATATTATAGACATATTTCGTTATATTCAGGGGTGCATTCAATTAGGATTTTAATGAATTTGTTTGGATTTTGAAAAGTTTGTAGACTTGAGTTGATTTATAAATTCTATAGAATCTATGCAGAGTTTAATTGATTTTTTTTATTGATTTATATGAATTTTGATAGATTTGATTGAATTATTTATTGATTTCCCTAGACTTCATTAGACTTTATAAATTTGTAAATTAAATAATTTTTATTGATTTATATAATTTTAAATATATGCAGTACACTTGTATGTATATAAAAAATTTCAAATATTTAAAAAAATATTAAAAGTACATTAGTTCTCAAAAGAATATATTTATTATTATTCTCACTTTTATTTTATTTTAATAATAATAATATTTTTAAATTTATATTTTTTGTTAGAGTATTATTTTGATCGAATTTATTATATTACATATATTCAATGTAATTAATTTTTATTTTGTAACAATCTATGTAATTGTTATGATAATTATTTATATGAATTTTTATAAAAATATATATATTTATAAATAAAATCACATTAAAATTACAATTTTTATTAATTAAAATTAAAAAATAAAATAATTAAAAATGAATAAACATAAACTAACATTGTCAAATATAATCCGTAGTTTTTGAACTGACGGAACTGAAATCGAAATAAAAAAATATAAATTAAAATTATGAAAGATTTAATTTTGATTTGACATTTTCAAATATTAAAACTAATAATTTTAATTCGAACTATTCGAGCAAGTTTATTTGTTATTATATATATATATATAATTTTGAATATTATTTCAAATATATAAAATTTTATAATATTTGTAATTTTATATTAAACATTTAAATTTTCTTATCTTATTGATATTATTAAATAAATAATAAATACATGTAAAGTAATAAATAGTTATTAATGCTATAAATAAAATTGTATGTATATTTTTACTAATTTTGAGAATCCATTGAAATCTCACCTCATAACAAGAGATTCTATACAGTGTAATTTGTTAGCAATTTTATTAAAGAATCCAACAAAATCCATAGATTTTTAAAGTCTATGATTGTTGAATACACCAAAAGACTTTTTAAAATCCGAATTGAATACATCCAGATTTTAAAATTTTTTTAAAAGTATTCATTGAATACACCAAAATTTTAAAAGACTTTTTAAAATCTGAATTGAATACATTTTGAGAGTCCAATAAAATCCATATTGAATACACCTCCTTGAGACATAACTCATACTAAAATTAATAAATCTATACTTTTGTGTAATTATACTATTATTTAATTTGTTTAATACTTCTTTCGTCCGAATATAAAGCTCACATTTATTTTTTGCGTATTGATCTTTCAATATTAATTATTATATCAAGCTATAATATAAATTAGAAGATAATAGTAAATATATTTCTATTATTGTCTTATAATACTAATATTAGAAAAAATTATATAAATATAAAAATATTTTTAATATTAAATACAATAAAACAAAATGATATTTTTATAAAGGCGGATCGAGATAGTAATAAACAATTTGATGATGCGAATAAGGCAGTAATTTAAAGTAATTAATGATAATGTGAATATAAATGAATATGTGTCTTTTTTTTTTTAAAGCTTGACATATTCTTTTAGAATTTGAGCTTTATTTTGATTCTAATATTAATTTTTATATGATATTTTATAATTATATATTACAAAATAATAAAAAATTCCTGCAGTAATAAAAAAATAATAATAATAATAATTCGAGCTAGAGTATGTGTGATAATATGAAAGGAAAGGGAAAAAAAATAAAATTGGAATAGTTTTTTTAAAAAAAATTAGCAGATGGGCTTATTTATAAATTAGCATTCTAGTTTATTAGCCCAATTTGAAAATTTAAAATAAAACTTTGAGCATGGTATGGTATGGGCCCAATAGTGGGAAGTGCCGCTTGTTTTGTTGGTAGACATCAGGTGCTAACCACGTGTCGCTTTGACCCTCGATTCAACAGTCCAGTCAGTCTCTCTGTCCCTCATTTGGATTTTTGTTAATTTGAGTTTCATTTGGCGTTCCTTCCTTCCTTCCTTCCACCCATTACCCATTACCCATTACCCATTGTTTTCTTTCTCCTTCCTTTCTCGGCCGTTGTTCGCCTACATCGATCGTATCGACGCCATAGATACATATATACGTGCCCTGGGTGGGTGGGTCTCCTAGTATATGTGTGTTGTCTTTATGCACTGTTTCTATTTATCTGTGTATGTATACATGTGTTGAACATAGCGGTGGTTTCTGAAAATTGATAGATTATTGAAGCATGTGTGTTAATCGACCTGGAGCAAGATTATGACGGAAGAATTTTCACCGGATTTTCGTGGAATTTCGTCGATACAGATCGATCTCAGGTGATTCGGTAACGGTGGTGTCAAGTTTGTAAATTTTGTGTGCTTGAGGCTTTTTTTTTAATCTCGGATTGAAATTTTCAGATCGGAGATTTGAGCGCAGCTGAAAGGGGGTTTGTTCTGTGCGGTGCGACGTGTATTATTCGGTAGGTAGCGGAGATGACGACGGGGCATGGAAATTTGGATAGGCAAATAGAGCAGTTGATGGAATGCAAGGCGCTGGCGGAGGGGGAGGTGAAGATTTTGTGCGATCAAGCGCGAGCGATTTTAGTGGAGGAATGGAATGTGCAGCCGGTGAAATGCCCTGTGACCGTGTGCGGCGATATCCATGGCCAATTTTACGATCTGATCGAGCTCTTTCGGATAGGCGGCAACACTCCTGATACCAATTATCTCTTCATGGGAGACTATGTCGGTGAGTCGCTCAGTAACTTCCTCCTACTCCTCCATCTCTTGATTTTCTTCATTAATTTTGTGCTACTTTCTCTGCCTGTTTTTGTTGCTTGATTGGGTTGATTAATTGATTGATTTTGAGGCTTATTTCTGGCTGATAAAGTGATTGGATTAGATTAGATTAAAGGAATGAATGTATTTGAAGATGTGAAATCGATTTGTACTGATTCTTGTAGATTGGTTGATTAATGTTTTGGTTTTATACAAAGCATAGTGTTGCCAAAGAGTTTTATCTGCTGCCAAATAGGTTTTTTTAAATGTTGATGATAGCTTACCTGTTTATGTAGTTTTTTCAAGATCAGAGAGTGTTCCGAAAATGTTGGTGTCTATTAGTCGATTATGGTATCTGTTGACGTCGAACTATTAACTGCTTTTATGGTTGTCGCGGTTGGAATTTATAGGATGAATGAGAACATGGATTGGATTACACGTGTGCAATCGACGATTGCTTCGGAAAGTGTAATATCGACAATAATCATCCCTTTTTGTCGTTTATGCCTAGATTCTACTACGGACTTTCGTCAGCATTTCTATACTAGGCTTTTGCTGATTTTTGTCAAGGGATAAACTAATTGGGTTGTTTGTTTTTATCTTCGATGTGAATCTAGGCCGTTAGGTAGTTTTTAGTTTCTTGTCATATTAAGATGCTTTTATTTGTGATTGAACAATAATTTATTGCAGATCGCGGTTACTACTCAGTGGAAACGGTCTCGCTCTTAGTGGCTCTGAAAGTGCGATATAGAGATAGGATCACCATCCTTAGGGGAAATCATGAAAGTCGGCAAATCACTCAAGTGTATGACCTTGAACCTCACTTATTGATCTTACATAATCATTTTTATTGGCTTCTAATGCATAATATATATCGCAGTAGAAAAAAAAAATGTTTACTTACTGCAAGATCGACTTCTTTTTAGATTGTTTTTCTATGATAACTTTTTAAGAATTTATGATTGGCAAACATTTTATTGAGCCATGTCAATCAGTCCACTTTATTTAATATTTTCTAACTTGGTTACATTTTCTGTTTAGAGGATAAACGATTGTACCAGATAAAATTTATCACAAAAATACTAGATAAAACATAGAACTTTAAATCCATATCTTTAGAATTAAAAGATGTAGTGAGTGGACAATCTTTCTTCCCTTTGTTTAGCTAGACTGTGCTGCCCTTATCCTTTTCTAAATATCTTGTCCTCTTAAGATTCAAAAGATGCCTCGTATTAGTTCGTGCACCTCTTCTTGCACCAGGTATGGATTCTATGATGAATGCTTGAGGAAATATGGAAATGCCAATGTGTGGAAGTATTTCACTGATCTTTTTGATTATTTGCCGTTGACCGCACTTATTGAGAGTCAGGTATTGTTGATAGAGAACAGAACAGAAAGAATACCATTTGTGTTTTGTTCTGTATTATAGTCGTCGCTGATTGCTTCTCTAATGACATACCATTCATACCCTGCTGGCTGGTAGGTCTTCTGTTTGCATGGGGGGCTTTCTCCGTCACTTGAAACATTGGATAATATTCGAGCTTTAGACCGCATACAGGAGGTAAATATAATCTATATATTGTGGACGAATGTTCTCGGTATAAAGATTTATATTCCTACATTCTTTTTCATAGTAGGATAGCATAGGCAGATTCATTTTGGTTAGTTTCATGATTGACCTCGTTGGACCCTTAATTAGGTTCCGCACGAAGGACCAATGTGCGATCTGTTGTGGTCTGATCCAGACGACCGGTGCGGGTGGGGCATATCACCCCGGGGAGCCGGCTACACTTTTGGACAAGACATAGCAGCTCAGTTCAACCACAATAATGGTCTCACCTTAATTTCAAGAGCTCATCAGCTTGTCATGGAAGGTTACAATTGGTGTCAGGTATTTTAATACTAATATGACATGACAAAGCAAACGACGACTCTGCAATCACTTTTTTGTTTGTTCCCGCTTTCAATTCTTTGTTTATTTCTCCTAGGACAAGAACGTCGTGACCGTCTTCAGCGCCCCAAACTATTGCTACCGGTGTGGAAACATGGCGGCCATACTCGAAATTGGGGAGAACATGGAGCAAAACTTCCTACAATTTGATCCAGCTCCTCGTCAGATTGAGCCAGATGCGACGCGCAAAACCCCAGATTATTTCCTGTGAAATCGAACATTCCGTGCGTACCTACCTATAGGTGTGTAGTATTATTGTTCTGTTCTTGTTTTGAGGACACCATTCTTAATTCTTTTTGTTTGGATCTGTTTGTCTGGAACAGCAAAGGCATGATATGATGGGATGGGTATCTCTTGTATATTTTCTTTAAAGCCAAAACTAGGCAGCATTGCTTTGTAATTTTCGGAATGTTGTTATGTTGTAGCAATAGAGACCAATAGTATAGTTTAGTTTAGTATAGGAATCTCCATCAGGTTTTGCATTATTCATATTTATAATCAATCCTTAATAATAAATAGGTAAATAAGAGAAGTAGTAGGGTTTGAGCTTTTTTTTCTTGTTTTGTAGAGAAATCTTGGAAGCAAATTCAGCATTTCAATTATATATATATATATATGTCCAAGTACCAGCTTGGCAGACTTTTCTCCACATTCATGGTCATCAGCTGAGCTGATATTCTCTAAATTAGGATCTGTAAGAGTTTCGACTTCAAGATTGTTACATTTAGTTGTAGGCTTCCACCAATAAACAACTTAAACTACCTTATTCATGTCTGTGCCCCATCCTCCTCATAGTGGTCTCTAAAAAGGTTTTTAAACGAAGTCTCCATTTCCGAAAGGTTCCATCAATAGCTTTCTTCTCTGCCCACCACCTATCAATGGTGTTTTTATACATTTATTATCATAGCTTTGGATTAATATTTGAATATTAATTATTATATCAAAATATAATATAAATTTTTTTTAAAAAAAATTACAAAAATACTTTTGTTAAAATAAATATGATTCTTAGAGGCGACGGAAAAGATATATTTTTTACCTCTTCCATTAAAAAAAGAAACAGACTAGATAATGTCTCACATTGCTTCAAAACCCCTTGATGCCCACGTGTTTTGCTAGCTATAGTCTAGTGTAACTTGTCTCATCAATTCAATTTATAGACTATTAAGTTCGATTTATATCCAAATCGCACTCGAAAACAAAAAAAAAAAAAGAAAAAAGAAAAAAAGAAAAACAAACGAATAAAAAAAAACTAAGTAAAGCCTCCTTTCCGATAAAAAAAAAAAAAAAAAAAAAAAAAAAAAAAAAAAAAGACTACATAGGTCCTCCTCAACCCACCCCTAGAAAAATACCATTGGAGAAGACTAGACTAATTGGAACGGAACTCATTGAAAGCTACAAGGCATGAACCCTCTAAGGGTAGCACCAATAGCAAGATCGACCCACCCAAGGAATACCCATCTTTGAATGAAGATCTTCTCCGACTTGGAGAAGCCTCTCATCAAGCCCAAAAGACCTAATGTTTGCTTGATTGATGTATGACATGAAGATCATGAGAAAAGGCATATAGAAACAGAGCAAGGAATCTAATCTTGATTCACAACATGTTCAGCAACATTCTTATTTTGTCTACAATTTCCAATGAATTGTGAATTTGGCTGAATGGTATGGAATGGACTAACCTTACCTTACCTTACCTTACCTTGCCTTGCCTTGCCTTGCCTTGCCTTACCTTACCTTTCCTTACCTTACCTTACCTTACCTTCTCTTATCTCTCTATATCTATATAGGACTATGCAGGCACCTGAGGCTCTCCATTAAAGCATCTGTATGCTCTGGTTTCCCTACCGAGATACGGACATAACCGGCCAACTCTTTCTTGCTGTAGTGCCGAATCATCACGCCCGTTTTTGCTAGGTCTTCCTGTAAAACATATTTGTCCAAACATAAAGAACCGAGAGGAAGAAGATGCTTCCAGATCAAAGAAAAACAGTCTATGTATCCTAAAACACTCCCACAAACAAATGTATCCTAAAATATAAGTGGCATAAGCACATAGTTCATGGCAACCAGTTTGCACGCCCATTAAAATAAAACTGGAATTAAATAAAATAAAATAAAACATATAACTTCAATTTAACATATAGTGTAAGTGGCAAGCCAATACCTTCAATTTTTTAGCATCCATCCCAGATGTAACTTCACAAAGAATGAAATTCGAGTAGCTTGGAAATGGCTTTAGAAATGGTACTTCTTTCAAAAGCTCGAAGAGCCTCTCCCTTTCTTGAACCAATGCAACTTTTACTTTCTGGAAAAACATACATTCAAAGAACTTGCATGAAAAGGGACTGCAACAGTAAATAAATTAAGTAAAGGCTTACCTTAATTACAATTTTCAGGATTGATTCCCCTCAATTATTCATGAAAGGTCAAAACAAACAACTTTGACAACCTTTCCCACATTTCATTTAATTTTATTGGAACCATTATAAACATCATATCAAATCAGGGATTTAAAATTGTGAACACTATATTTGATGGAAGAGAATTGTACTTCAGCTGGGAGAGGGTATTAGTGAGCTGCTGCTCTAGGTACCTCTAGGTAATCAGAGTTCTGTAATGCAGCACATGCTGCAATCTCAGCAGCAACAGACACATTATATGGTTGTTTTGCTCTCCATAAATATTCAATCATACTCAGAGGAAATGCCCCATACCCAACCCGAAGCCCAGCTAAACCTGAAATGCCAGAATATAAAGTATATATATATATTAAACCTTAAAAGATCTATACCCATCATCCATGCATATTATAGTTAAGCCAGCCTCCAGAAAAAAGAAAACAATAGCAAAACAATGAATAAAGCAACGCATTGGTCTAATTTTGGCAAATTTATAGAACATATTTTGCATAAACATTTCAACTTCATTGATGAGTATGGGAAAGTGTGCACTTTTAATATATAAGAACATTTGATATAAAACAAACTACCTAACCTCCAAAGGTTTCAAAATAAAACAAGGTGCAATTCCTAGCAAATGAGGCAACTCGAAAATGGTGTTTCATCTCCTACACTTACGAATTTCAAGATTAATTAAAAGCATTTAATGATACAATCTATGCTTAGCACCTAAAAGAATAAAGTAAAAGAATACCGGCTCTTTTGCTGAAAGTACGAAGAACAATTAGATTTTCAAACTTCTTCACCCATTTCATTTTGGACTCAATTCCAGAAAATTCAATGTATGCTTCATCCAGCACAACCAATATTGGCAGATTAAGTATTTGGAGAAGTGTTTCATCATCTATTATGCTGCCAAACAAAAGAACAGAACATATTAAACATAGTCCTTAAAGATATGACATAAGAGTTTGCTTCTAACAAGTAAAAATGAACAAATACTGCAGCAACAATATTGGTAAAGTACAATTTTTAACTCTGCAACAAAATTACTTACGAAGATAAATCCAAGACATTTTACCTTCCATCTGGATTATTAGGCGAGGTTAGGAATATACATTTTGGCCTTTCCTGCTCAACAACTTCAACAATCCGTTTTACATCCAAGCTGAAGTCTGATTTCCGGGGTACTGCCAAATGTTTGCATTTTGAAAGAATTTAAAGATGGTGACTAGATTAATAGACCTCTTTGTGGAAGTAACACCAATAAAGGTGTGTTTATTTGTGGGGTTTTGGGTTTGGGTTTTGAATAGTAAAATTTGAATTAAAATTGTTGCTTGATGTGATATAAATGTATTGATGAGATGTTTTGAATGTAAAATTAAATTTTAATGTAATATAATAAATGAAAAATGTGTTTGATTTGATGTTTTTGGAGAAAAAATTGAGAATAGTAAAACCCACCAAAACCCCACAAACAAGCACACCCTAAAGTTTTAAAACTAAATTAAGTTGAATATACATGACACAATCTGGAATAAAGCATAATTGCCCATTAAATAACAGCATAAAGAATAGCTGAGGTTAAATTTTCACAGAGATTAAAATGATGAACAAAATAACTGCGAAAAAATCTCCATGCAAAAGTCAAGAGAAATGACAAATATAAGAAGGAATGTACCTTTAACAACAAGTGCAGCATTAACATTTGCATCAAACTCATACATGGTGAAGGTTGGTGGGCAGTCCAATATTTTGTCACCAGGTTCTAACACACATCTGCAGTGAGGATGAATTCAAGCATACAAAAACTGATAAATGTAGCAGACAGACATATGTTCTGTGAAGGATCATGCTACAAACCGCATAATCAAATCAATCAGTTCATCTGCACCACAGCCAGCTAGAATATAATCAGATTCCAGGCCAGAATCTTCACCAAGCGCAGCTCGCAACCTGCGGCTTTCAGGGTCAGGATATATATATGGGAACCTCATGGAGCCCAATGCCTCAGAAACCTATATAAAATTCAGGAGGCAAAAAATAAAAACAAGCATGGAGAATAATGCCACCAAATCAGTAGACAAACAGATAATCCAGTCAAGTTTTCTATAACTACAAATCAAACAAGGAACACTGGCCTTACCTCTGGTGGCGGCCCATATGGGTTTTCATTGGCATCAAGTTTTACTATATCCTCAGGCTTCCTACCAAGGTGAGTGGACAACACCTGTAAATAGACCTCAAAATTTACAATAGCCATAGGAGATCGCATTCATCCAGCTGGACAGAAATTTCAACTACAAAGGTAAACAAAACCTAAACAAATGGAGGTAAGAATAGCAATAAATATATCAAGTACCGATTCAAACTGATTTAGATTTAGTTGTTATGGTATGGATAGTCTCAAGAATTTCCTGGTTTATTATTTCAATAATCATAATAAGGAAAATTACTTAAGGGAATTCAGAAACAAAAATGAATTGACAGTTTTATTGGTTCCATCAGTTGGTCTTAATTACATTGAGTGCAGCAAAAGTCACAACATCTTTTTTTTCAATAATTGCATTTTGATTAATGCTTAAATTGCATCACATTAAAATATTTCTGCTGCTTTTCTCAAAAGTTCAATTTTCTTCTATTGTTATTATTTTTCTTTGGGCATAACTTGGTCAAAAGATATACATGGTTTGTATTTGATTGCTGCTGACGATATTCCAAGCATACCAACTTATAAAATAAACAGAATGCACCATATACTTCTGAACTATGTAAAGCAAGCAATAATAAAAATCAATATGAAGGAGATTAAACAGTAACCTCAAAAGGTAAGATCGGCTGATAAGGAGATAATTTACGGAGATGCGGCCGAATAAATGAGTCCCCAGCCACCGCACAGCCACGCTGCTGTTGAGTGTCATCTTTTGTAGGAACTGCAGAGACCGAGCCGGAGGCGGAGGATGGAGTCATACAGGTAGCACTACCGAGTCTCAACGTACAACAATTGGAACCAAATTTTTTTGGTTTTTCCCCGAAAACTGACGGATTGTTGCATAACAGTTTGATAACACCCATAGAATCAATTCCCCCAGCCTGATGAAAAGTAAATACATTCAAGGGTTCCTACCTAAACAGAAAGGAGAAAGAGGGAGGGAGTTGAACGGTACCTTCTGTAACAAATACAGTGTTATGAACCTAAAGTAGACTTGCCCATTCCATTCCGAACCGTCGGTTCGACGGTTTATGAACCGGCGATTACGGTTTGAACCAAAACCGGATGCAAACCGAACTGAAACCGTAGTTCCGACGGTTCACGGTTTGAACCGGCGGTTCGGCCTTAATTGTTTTTTTTTGAAAAAAAAAATAAATCTGGTCGTCTGTCGCGCAAGAGCAGAGCAGGCAGGAGAAGAAGAAGAGGTGAAGAAGAAGAAGAAGAAGAAAGAGGAGGAAGAAGAAGAATTGGAGAAGAAAGGAAAGAATCGGTAAAGGTGAAGAAAAGAAAAAAGAGGAAGAACCTGGTGGCTGGCTTGGCTAGTGCGGCTGCGGTGGTGTGGGTGTGTAAAATGATTTATTATGTCTTAGGGTATTAGGATTTTGTACAAATTTGTATGTTTTAAAATTATAATAATATGTTTAACTTAATTTTTTTTTTATATATATTATCAATTTTTTTATTAAATAAAAAATTATTAATAATATTAAAAAATACTAATACTAATACTATAACATTATTTTTTATTTATATTTTGTAATTTTTAATTATATTATCAATATTTTTATAATTTATTTGTATTTTTTTAATTTATAATTTAATTGCTTATTAAATTTATTATTTAAATTATTTTTACATTATAAAAATATAATTAATTATTATTCATATAATGACTATATAATTGTTATGTACGAAATTTAGAATTAGGTTAAAAGCCCAAGGTAAAAAGAAGAATGGGCCTGGCAATAGAGTTGATTGAACTGACTGAAGGACACCATGAGGAAATCAAGGGAAATAGGTTTATTTCTAAGGAAAGTCCTCAGGACGGAAGGATCTCAGGTCGGTAGGTCCTCAAGACGGAAAGACCTCAGGTCGGAAGGTTTTCAGGTCGAAAGGTCCTCAAGACGGAAAGACCTCAAGTCGGAAGGTTTTCAGGTCGGGAGGTCCTCAAAGCGGAAAGACCTCAAGTCGGAAGGTTTTCAGGTCGGAAGGTCCTCAAGACGGAAAGACCTCAAGTCGGAAGGTTTTCAGGTCGGGAGGTCCTCAAAGCGGAAAGACCTCAAGTCGGAAGGTTTTCAGGTCGGAAGGTCCTCAAGACGGAAAGACCTCAAGTCGGAAGGTTTTCAGGTCGGGAGGTCCTCAAGACGGAAAGACCTCAAGTCGGAAGGTTTTCAGGTCGGAAGGTCCTCAAGACGGAAAGACCTCAGGACGGAAGGACCTCAAGTCGGTAGGTCCTCAAGACGGAAAGACCTCAAGTCGGAAGGTTTTCAGGTCGGGAGGCCCTCGGGACGGGAAGTCTGCAGGTCGGGTGGCCTTCAGGACGGGAAGTCCGCAAGTCGGGAGGTCCTCAGGTCGGGAAGTTCTCAGGTCGGAATTCTGCAGCAGAACCAACAAGTCAGATGGTTTGCAAGTCGGGAGGATTGGCAGTCGGACCCATACTATTGTAGATTGGCAGTCGGGCCTAAAGGGCGGAAGGTTTGTGGTCGGCTCAAAGAGTGAAATATAGGGATAATTTTGGTCTGCTGAGGACGCGTGTCAGCAGGAGAAGGGTTGGAAGACGGTTGGGAAGGAGGCGTTCTAACCGTTCGGGTGACGGTTTTCGGTACGGTTTCCCAGAGAATATTTAAAGGCTTGGATCATCATTTGGCAAGGCATCTTCAATCAACTTCAACAAAGCAAAGTCAGATTTGGGGATCACCACTTTAAATTTCAGTCTTTTATTTTCCAGTTTATTTTCTGTACCATACAGTGTTTAGAGATTCCTAATCTCAGGCACTAATTAATCAAGTTTAAGGATATTTTCTATATCTTTGAATTTTACTTTATTTTTGTTGAAAAATTACATCAACAAATTGGCGACCACAGTGGGAGCAAGCCAAAATTGCTCATTCCAATCCCGGCGATAATTTCATACGTCTAAGATCCGGCCGAATCATCGGAAGGGTCCATATGGCAGGTTCACAACCACAATCATCTTCGGCACCGGTGGGAGAATCCGTTCCACCACCTATTGTGCCAAATGCCGGGGAAATCCCACAACCACCAACTGATTGGTGGTCTTATGTTCAACAAATGAACAACCAGCATACTTTGGTTATGCAGAATATGTTGCGTGAACAACAAACGAACATGTTGCGTGAGCAACAGAGTCTGATGCAGAACATGATAGATCAAGCACTGTCAAGGGTTAGTCTTCAGCCCACTCAAACGCCACCAGGAGTGTCACCGTCCAGACCACAGGCAAATTTCGCAGGGCCATCATTCGTGGATAGTACATTCCCAAGTGCCACAAATCCCAACCGAATGGATAGGGGAAATCTCCTTTGACTTTTCCCAACAATGTTCCACTGGGACCAAGGGTTACCAATCCGCAGCCAAACAATACGAGGGAGGACAGGCCTGAAGGATATATACATGATCATATTCATATTCCTGTGCAGGATCCGTTCCATGTTCCTGATCATCAACGCTTTCATGTAGATCCTGATGAGATTGCACATATATTAAGGGATCAGTATGGATTAACTCCTCAGATGGCTAACCGCCCTGCATATCAGAGACCTTTCCCAGAAAGGATCATTAATGAACACCCTCTCCCAAGGAATTATCGACCACCCGATTTTCATGCATTCTCAGGGGAGGACGGATCTTCCACCATAGAACATGTTGGTCGGTTCACAGCACAATTAGGGGAAGTTGGCAATAACCCTTTTTATAAGCTGCAGCTGTTTGGTTTATCTCTTACTAGAACAGCATTTTCGTGGTTTGCAAGTCTGCCTCCTGGACAAATTCAGACATGGGAAGGGCTGGAGATGGCATTTCATGCTAGATTCTTCAACCCTTTACCAATTGTTTCTTTAACTGATCTACTAGAATTGAGACAGTATCCAGAAGAATCTGCTTCACAGTTTATAGAAAGGGTGCGACTGATGAAGGGACGATGTCCTACGGTGATCAGTGAGAAAGAGATGACCAATTTAGTGGTCCGGAATATGCATACTCGCTTAAGAAAGGCACTCACTGCCCTGGATGTTGAGGATTTGGCAAGTCTTGCATCCAAGGCAGGACGTTTAGAGTCTTTGTTCAGAGAGGAAGATCAGCATAACAGGCGTAATAGAGGCCAACATATGGCGAGTATGGGAACAGAAACATGTGACTTTGATTTTAATCAGTCAGAAGAGATGGCAGCCGAAATCCTTTCTGGAAAACCTTATGTGTGCCCCAAATTGAAGCCAGTACCAGGATCTGAAGGAAAGGAGCAACCGACGTTTGATAGTTCGAAAGCTGATGAAATCTTTGATATCCTACTGACTGATGGGCAGATCCGTATTCCAAAGGGGCAAAGATTGGCCACTAAAGAAGAAATCAAAGGGAGACCATATTGTAAGTGGCATAATTCTTTCACGCACACTACAAGTCAGTGTACTCATTTCAGGAAAGAAATTCAAAAGGCCATCAAGACAGGTCGGCTCAAATACATCACTCTAGGTGTAGACCAGCAACCGTTTCCGAAAGTAACAACGGCAATGGTTGACATCCAACCAAGTTCGGAAACAGGGAAAAGTTCGGCCAATAGTGGACAACCAGGGGAACGAACTCAGGCAAGCCCCGGAACAAAGAAAGGAAATCAGCCAAACAGCAGCCGACCGGAAGAACGATTCAAAGTTGTTGAAAGGCCAGTCGCTGAAAAATGGGACCGTCCAGACGGTTCTTTTAACGTGGAGGTGAAAGAAAAGGTTTTAGTGCGTGACCACCCGACCAGAAAAACAGGTTCAGTCGGGAACAATTGGGCTCGAAATAAAAAGCCTTTACCCGTTGATATAGATCCTCGTTTCCCAGGTATGAATCGTACACAGATCCGCAACGCCAAACGCAGGTATGCTGCAAAGTATGGGAAACGAGTTCCTTCAGTAAAACAACGAACCGACGAACAAAAAGCAGCCGACCGCTTGGCAGGAGATCAGTCCATTAGAGTCTTTACAGAACAAACGACCGACGAGCAGGGAGCAGCCATTCAGTCTCCAATTGGTCGGTCCAGTCGGGTCTGGTCAGGAAAGCAACCGAATGACGGATTAGGCGCTTCCGACTATACCAAAAGAAGTTCGTCGGGACAGGGGAAAGGTAAAGGAATGGCAGATGAAATAATTAGAGGATTTCGATGCCAACATTGTGAACGGATCAACATCAATCCATCTCTTGAGGAATTCCGCATAGAATCTTTGACGGTTCAATTTCGGGATAAGACAAAGGGAGAAGTTGTAACTACAGAGGAAAGTTCAAGATCGGTTAAATCTCGTCTGGGACCACGAATCCCTTGTCGAATGACAGAGATTAATCAGATGAGAGATGAACCGATGTGGGCAAGTCTGGTAGATGATACTATGGACGAACCTTTATGGGCATTCTTGGTAGATGATGAATTAGAGGAAACAGAGTGGGCAAAGATTACAGATTCCGAGCCTCAAACGGAGGCACCTTCGATTGTGTTTCCTCCTATTCCAGAGGGTGCGATCTCCCATTTGAAACCTCTGTATGTTAATGCTCATATATGCGGGAAACCAATCACAAAGGTTTTTGTGGATAATGGGGCAGTCTTTAATGTTATGCCATTGAAGACTCTCAAGAAGCTAGGGAAAGGAATTCATGATTTGTCTCCTGTGGAATTCGAAATGACAAGTTTTACAGGGCAGCCGACTAAGCCTGAAGGCATGATGGTTGCCACAATTGAAGTCGGACCGAAAAAGATCTCCACTGTTTTCTTTATTGTGGACGCAGATACTACATACTCTCTCTTGCTGGGAAGAGACTGGATTCATGCTTCTCAATGTGTGCCATCAACCTTGCACCAACAATTAATGTTCTGGGAAGGAAATCAGGTCTTCAAAATGGAAGCGAATGACAACCCATTCGATGTAACAGAACAAGTTGAAGAGTCAGTGTTTTATTCCAGTCATTTGGCTCCGACGTCTCAGTTGTATATGGCCAGGGAATACCCATACAAGGGTTATAAAGTCACTGGCCAGAATTCGATGTTCTATTAAAAGAACACTTTTATTGTATGGCTCATGATAAAGCCACGCCCATTCCCATATAATTTGTTTGTTATGGATGATACAAGTTTAGAAGTATGTAGTTCTCTTATTAATAAGTTCTATTTAAAGCAGTTATTACATAAAGCAAAAATAGTAAAGAGATTCTTGATGTTCACCTCCAAGAAGATGAACAATTTCGTTGGCCCGATTTATTAGAAAAAACAGAACCAACAGCTTCATCACAAGACCCATTATTGGAGTTTAATTTAGGAACCGAATTGGTTCCAAAAGTGATCAGGCTAAGTGGTTATTTGTCTAAAGAGCAACAGACAATGATGCTCGAAGTTATTAGAAACAACATTGATTGTTTGGCATGGGATTATTCAGAGATGCCTGGTTTGACAAGGAGTCTAATAGAGCATCGATTGCCTATCAAGGAAGGTTGTAAACCTTACAAACAACCTCCAAGGCGAATGAGCCCGGATCTGATGCCTCAAATCAAGGAAGAAATCCAAAAACTTCTCAAAGTGGGTTTCATTCAGCCTTGCCGTTATGCGGAGTGGCTGGCTAACATTGTGCCAGTGGTCAAGAAAAATGGTAAGATAAGGATATGCATTGATTTCAGGGATTTGAATCTAGCTACCCCTAAGGATGAATATGTGATGCCTATGGCCGACATGTTGATAGATGCAGCAGCAGGGCACAAAGTCCTTAGTCTGATGGATGGTTATGCAGGTTATAACCAAATATTTCTGGCAGAAGAAGACATTCCTAAGACAGCATTCAGGTGCCCAGGGGCTTTAGGTATTTATGAATGGACAGTCATGCCATTCGGGTTAAAGAATGCAGGGGCAACTTACCAAAGAGCCATGAATTCAATCTTTCATGATTTAATTGGCAGATCTATGGAAGTTTATATTGATGATGTTATTGTTAAATCTGCCAGTTTTGACGAACATTTGAGAGATCTTGAAGAGGCATTCGAAAGAATGAAGAAGTACAAGTTGAAAATGAATCCAACCAAATGTGCTTTTGGAATATCAGCCGGGAGCTTTTTAGGGTTTTTAGTTCATGAGAGGGGAATTGAAATCGATGCCAATAAGGCTAAAGCCATTCTTGACAGTCGGCCACCCAAGACGGTTAAAGAAATCCAAAGTCTTTTGGGTAAGGTGAACTATTTGAGGCGTTTCATTTCTAATGCTGCTGGCAAGGTCAGACCCATTACTAAATTGTTGAAAGCTGGAAAAAATGCGTTTGAATGGGGTCCCGATCAACAGATGGCTTTAGATGCTATCAAGCAGGCATTGGTTCACCCTCCAGTCTTGATGCCTCCTAAACAAGGTCGGCCACTCAAACTTTATTTGGCAAATACATATGAAGTGGTTAGCTGTTTATTGGCACAGGATGGTGATGACGGGAAGGAAAGGGCAATCTACTATCTCAGTAAAACCCTTACAGGACCAGAACTGAATTACACTATGCCAGAAAAAATGTGTTATTCATTGGTTTTCGCTTGTACTAAACTCGAGCATTATTTGCTGCCCAGAAAGATTGAGGTCATATCAAAGGTGGATCTCATCAAATTGATTTTGCAGAGACCTACTATGAAGGGCAGACTCATGAAGTGGGCCATCAAATTGGCTCCTTTTGATCTTCAACATTCCCCTTTGAGGGCAGTCAAGGGACAAGCAGTAGCCGACTTCTTAGCAGAATTTTCACAAGTCGGGTATTCTCATTGTGATAGCGCCCGACCACTTGGTTGTTCATCATATTTGAATAATCTACAGGTCGGATGTGTACCTTATATAAGTACCAGAACATGGTTGATGTTCTTTGATGGTTCTACTTCTGGAAACAAATCAGGGGCAGGGGTCTTTTTGCAAGGACCTGACGGTCAAAAAATCAACTTACAACTACGATTGGAAGCAATGACCCATAATTCGGCAGAATATGAAGCTTTAATTTTGGGTTTGGAGGCTTTAATAGCCAGGAAGGTCCAGTCTGTAATCATAAGGGGGGATTCTCAATTAGTAGTCAACCAAGTAAACAATCAATATGTTTGCAATTACCCTCATCTTCGCAGATACAGGGACATTGTGGGTCGGTTACTAACAAAAATCTCAGAAGTAATAATTGAATTCATTCCGAGGAAAGAAAACCAACGTGCTGATGAGTTGGCTCAAAGGGCCTGTAAAGGAATTCTGGAGGATATTTGGTCGGAGGTCAAGTCGGGCATAAAAGAAAAAACAGACCCAATATGTGACCGAATGGTCGGGCAGGAGACTATCGGACAGGAGCCCGACTGCGAAGTTACGGTCGAACAGGAGATTGTCGGACAGGAGCCCGATTGCGAAGTTACGGTCGGGCAGGAAACTGTCGGATAGGAGCCCGACCGCGAAGTTACGGTCGGGCAGGAAACTGTCGGACAGGAGCCCGACTGCGAAGTTATCGGGCAGGAGACTGTCGGTCAGGAGCCCGACTGCGAGGTTATTCTCGGACAGGAGCCCGACTGCGTAGTTCCTATCGGGCAGGAGTCCGACGGCGAAACAGTGCCCGATTGGAGAACAGAGCTTATCACGTATTTACAGAATCCAGGTGCAAGTGTTTCAGTTGCGACACGACTGAAAGCTTTACGTTTTCAATTGATAAATGGAATTTTGTATAAGAGATCATTTGAAGGTTTACTTTTGAAGTGTTTGGGATCTAAAGAAGCTCTAGAGGTAATGACAGAAGTACATGGTGGGATATGTGGAGCTCATCGGGCAGGTCTGAATATGAGGTGGGCCATTCATCGTTTGGGGTTTTTCTGGCCAAAGATTTTTGAAGATTGCATACAATTTGCCAAAGGCTGCCAGGAATGTCAGAGACATGGAAACTTAAACCATTTGCCAGTAACCGAATTGCAATTTTTGGCAAAACCATGGCCTTTTAAATCATGGGCTATGGATATTATTGGTAAGATACATCCTGCTTCATCGAAACATCATTGTTTCATATTGGTCGCGACTGACTATTTTACCAAATGGGTAGAAGCGGTTGCTTTGAAAAATGTGGATCAGAAGGAGGTGATAGACTTCGTTTTGAATCAAATTATTTATAGATATGGCATTCCTCAGTCTATAACAACCGACCAAGGCCTGGTTTTCACAGGGGAAAAGTTCTCTAGTTTCTTGGCAGAATTCGGTGTTCGATTACATCATTCTTCACCTTATTATCCCCAAGCCAATGGACAAGCGGAAGCAGCAAATAAGATTATTATTGGGATTATAAAGAAGATGGTTGAAGGGAACCCAAGAAAATGGCATTTGTTATTGTCTCAGGCTTTATGGGCACATAGGAATACCAGAAATACGGCCACAGGGTTCTCACTTTATCAACTCACGTTTGGCCAAGATGCTGTTTTACCAGCCGAAATCCGAGTATCATCTGGCCGAACAGAGTTTACTGATGGTGATCTTACAAAAGAATACCAACAACTTATGATGCAACAGTTGGAGGATTTGGATGTCAGCCGACTTCAGGCAATAAGTCGAAGTGTGAAACAGAGTGAAATCAGAGCAAGGAGTTACGGAAAGAAAGTTCTTCACAGGACATTCCAAAAAGGAGATTTAGTCTGGAAGACCATTCTTCCTACATATAAGAAAACTGACCAATTGGGAAAATGGTCACCGAATTGGGAAGGACCATACATTGTTCAAAAAGATATTGGGAATGGCGCTTTCATTATTGTAAATCATGAAGGGAGAAGAGTACATGATTGTGTTAATGCTAAATATCTGAAGAGGTATTATCCTGCCTTTTCAGATAACAAAACTGCCTGAAACAAAATATTATTCAGAACCCATTTATGGGGTTCGAACCTATTTAAAGGTTCATTTCTGTTAGTCATCATGTATTTGTGAGAAATTTTCTGCCTCTGAATCAGAATTTTCATTCCAGTGAGTGGATATTAATTCTGGTTCTTCTTCAATAAGATCTTCCAAGTCTGGTCGGTACCTCTCCCATTGGCTTTGCATTTCATCTAAATCTTGATTGGTACGTGCTTGCATGTCTGTTATGGCTTGATGTTCACGGTCAACAATGGTCCGTAATCTTGAGAAGACTTTTCGTTGATTGGAAAATATATTATCCCAACCAAGGTCTGGAAGTATGGTTGCTGCGTGATTTTCAATCATTTCCATGTGATGATGGAGATCAGGAATGCGGCCAAGGATGTCACGGAGAGGTTCATACCCCTCAATGATTTTTTCCATTAGGCGGATGACGCGATGAATGGTTCTTCTACCTCGTTGGGAGAATCGGAATTTGAAGTCTAGTTGCTTGAGTATATGTAACAAGTCTTCTGCATGGCCTCCAATAGGGTGATTACCTACAAAGAAGGGTTGAAGAACACCCTCCCAGTTGCTTGATGGAACATGAGGTCGGTCATTCGCCATGTTTGTTAACACTTCAAGTGTTTTGATTTTCAAAATATGCCTTGGAATATGTTTCTTAAAATGTGAGAAACAATGTTCTTTTAAAAGAAGGAGTTTGTTTGGATTCCTATAAAGTTGGAAATTGAAAGGTGATCCTTGTTTTGAGAGAAGAACGAACAAATGGATTACTAAGTCAATTGTTGTTACAGAGGGGAAGCTATTACAAAAGTGCCCCTAAAGCAGTTTTTATATTTGTCCATTTGATTTCATCCCTGGATAGCCTTCTGGTATTAGCAGCCGTCTGATATCTTTGGATGAATTGGGATCGAGCTTGGGTTTTTAGCTCTTGATCCAATTCAGCCTCATTCTTTGTATATTTTTCAAGCAGACGCTGTTCATTGGTAATTTGCTTAACCAGGGCAGACTGTTCTTTCCTTAGCTCCCGCAACTCTGCCTCCTTTTTCTGAATAGCTTCATCAACTTGAGCTTTCGTGCTAAGGAGACCACTCAGCCTTCCAGTAGTCTGCTGAAGGGATTCTCGGGTCTTAGCCAAAGAATTCTCCAGCGTTGTTTGGTCGAAGTCGGGCTGGGGGGTTTCGGCTGACAGGAGTCCAATGACTAACACTTCAGTCTTGAGCTCTGTAAGTCTTTCCATCAGCCGATGCAGAATGGGGACGGCTGGCGATTCCGTTGGAGTGTAAAAAAGAAGGCCACCAACCGTCTGAATGAGTTTGTCTAATAAGTCGGACCTTAATTCTGACAGGGGATGGTTGATGGCCTCAGTGATTATAGTCTGGGCCTCCGCTGGAACTGGAACAGTCGATAGGATAGCTAAGTCCGAAGGCTCCTGCAAGTCATACAGTGTCAATAAGTATTCCAAGGGAGGTGCAAATTTATTCATATAAGATATGCGTCACCTCTGGGCGAACTGCTGTCAGTGAGGGGGGCAGCAATGAGGTCGGTCGAGTAGGGCGGGCAGCTGGTATAACAGCAGCCGACTCGTCGGCTGCTGCGAATGGTCGCTGAGGTGCCGACCTGGGTCCCTATGGAAAGTAGTGTATAAAACAGTTAGTGTTTTTCTGAAAGAAACATTGTAGCATGGATTGGTTTAATCTTACCAAATTCACAGAAGTCTCCGAATCGGACGAAGACACTTCTTCCATTTCTGGAGGTTGGGCTGCCACAGGTGGTTCTTCTGCCTGCCACTCGATTGCTGGAGGTAGCGCCGCTGCTGGCTGGGCGGCTGCAGGTTGGGCGGCCGCATCTGGTGCCACTGCAGCCGGGATCTCTGAAGCATCTGGGATAGCCGCAGCTGGGGCACTTTCGGTTCCCAGTGTGGCTGCATCCGATTGGACGATTTCAAGATCAGCAGCATCAGGGACGTCATCTTGAGGGTCAGCTTCGGCAAGGGCAGCTGGTTCTTCCTTCGAAATGGATGAGTCTGATGCCATGTATGGCGGTTGACCCATCTGGGAAGTAGTCCCCTCGCTGTCTGAAGTGACCCCTGCTGTTGATGCGATGGGTGAAGGTGTCTGTGAATAATCATGGAAATGTTGTTGTTAAATATATCAAGGTTGGTCATTAGAATCCTAAGTATTGCTGATGAGAGAACTTACTGGTTCTATAGGCACTGCTGGTAAAGATTGTCTCCTGGTCGGGTGCCTGGCCCGACCACTCCTCGGTACGGGAGGAAGAGTTTGCCTCCTTGTCGGGTCCTCCGCCCGACTGCTCATTGGCAAATTGGTCTGGACCAAAGGTCCGATTGAATGGTCGGCTGGGGCTGGCGTCGGTTGTGTGGTCGGTGTCACCAAGGTCGTTTCTGGTGAATGAAATAAGTAAAATCAAAGTTACGATATAGTGAATTGGTTCACGGTGTTAAGAAAAATTACCAATTCGGGGTCGGGTCCTTGCTGACGTCCTAGTAGTTCCAAGGTCTGCTGGTGCTTGCTGATCGGCCCCAGAGGTCGGGGGTGTTTGCAGCTAGGAAGCTTTCTTTTTTCGCACTGGAACACTAGATCCGATTCCCGGGGCAGCTGTTTGTTGCTGAGTGCTAGTATGTCTAGCCGCCCCTATAACTAATCCTTGGGGGGGAAGGAGTATGTTCAACAACCGATCCTCATCAGGGGAAATCAGGGACCATACAACCGACCACCATTCATTGAATGTATCTACAGTCTCAGGGTTGGAGCGGAAAGGAATATAAGAATTGGAAATTATATACGTGGTGAGCTGGGAGATATAAGAAGGGATTGAATTAGGTAGGACTCGTCGGTCCGGACTTTGAAAAATTATATGCGGACAAGCGACGGGTCCAGGGATACCTTGGCAACAGCCGAACTGGCGCGCCATGAATTGAGGTTCATAATTAAAAGTGTAAAAGGTTTTCTGCCCTTTTTTATCAAGTTTTTTGCTGCTAAAAAGAGACCTGGGTTTGAGGGCAACGTCCCAGGCAAAAGGATAGGTGGGATGAGCACAAGGCTCAGGAGTCGGAAGAGGATTTGCTGCTGGAAAGGGCCAAAAGTGGTCGGGAGCATAACCCGCATATTTTTTATACATAGAAAATCGAGAGTTACTGCGGGTATCCGTTACAATTGCAGTTATTATTGGATCGGAAGATTGGAGTTTATTGCGTCCTGAGCAGAGTCGGTTGAGGGCTAATCCCAAATGTTTTTCGGAGGTTGGCATAGTGGGCGGAGATCCTAAGTTGAACGCGTTAGGGAAGTAAAGACGGAACCAAAGTTCTAAAAACCAAAAAGGACCCGATGCAGCAGTGTCTAATTTTCTACTATCATTATCTGTTAGACGAAGGCTAACTCTAGTAAGTCCTTCAAACAGATTGGCTAAAAACAGGGTGCCAAGGGAAAAGAACCGACCTGACGCGATATGAATGGCCAGGTCGAGATGAGAAGGAAGAACACATTTGGAAGGGGAAACAATGACGTACCTACAAAGCCAAAAAAGGATAAAGGCAGTATGCTCCTGGTCGGTCACAGGGGTCCCTGGAGCCCCTTGCTGGTCGGTTGCGAACTTTGTCCAACCCCATTCCTTCACACCTTGTAAAGACCATCCTGGATGGTCTTCTGATGGCTCCTGCCCATCTAGGGCTCCCATCACAGGGTCTTCACCCACGACTGGGAGATGCGCGATCATTGCCACGTCCATAAGAGTTGGACCAAAGGGGCCCGATGGTAAAGAGGAAAGTCCCATTTTCCGCATTCCAGAAGGCAGACATGGCCAACAGCACCTTCTCATGCAGGTTGATAGGCATGGTGGACAATAGTATTGCTTGGTCGATTTTTTGAGATCGCCATTGGGCCTGGAAGTGTTCTGCTACCCGTCGATACCAAGCGCGGTAAGGATCTTTTGGGTCTGTGAGATGGGTTTTGATGCTATCTCGAATGCGAACTGCTTGGTAGTTAGGATTGTTGATAGCCAGGGGATTTCGGGATTCCAAAACTTCCCTCATTCGATTTGAGTCTTCAGGAGTAGTGCAATATGGGCGGATCGTCGGAGTTAGTACTTTCGAGGCTGAAAATGGGCCCTCTGGGAGGGTTCCGTCGAAAGGAAGGGCAGGAATGTATTGATTCGCCATGGTTAGAGTGTTTTGGGATTGTGATTCACAAAAGCTCGTATTGCGGAGAAGGAAGTTAATCAGGAGTGTTGCAGTAACTGGTGCAGTTGCTAAGGGAATTTTTCAAGAGGGTAGTGATTTATGAACTTCCAAACATTGATTGTTAGATGGCGTTTGAAAGTCCCTTGGCGGCGGGCAAGTTGTTATGTACGAAATTTAGAATTAGGTTAAAAGCCCAAGGTAAAAAGAAGAATGGGCCTGGCAATAGAGTTGATTGAACTGACTGAAGGACACCATGAGGAAATCAAGGGAAATAGGTTTATTTCTAAGGAAAGTCCTCAGGACGGAAGGATCTCAGGTCGGTAGGTCCTCAAGACGGAAAGACCTCAGGTCGGAAGGTTTTCAGGTCGGAAGGTCCTCAAGACGGAAAGACCTCAAGTCGGAAGGTTTTCAGGTCGGGAGGTCCTCAAAGCGGAAAGACCTCAAGTCGGAAGGTTTTCAGGTCGGAAGGTCCTCAAGACGGAAAGACCTCAAGTCGGAAGGTTTTCAGGTCGGGAGGTCCTCAAAGCGGAAAGACCTCAAGTCGGAAGGTTTTCAGGTCGGAAGGTCCTCAAGACGGAAAGACCTCAAGTCGGAAGGTTTTCAGGTCGGGAGGTCCTCAAGACGGAAAGACCTCAAGTCGGAAGGTTTTCAGGTCGGAAGGTCCTCAAGACGGAAAGACCTCAGGACGGAAGGACCTCAAATCGGTAGGTCCTCAAGACGGAAAGACCTCAAGTCGGAAGGTTTTCAGGTCGGGAGGCCCTCGGGACGGGAAGTCTGCAGGTCGGGTGGCCTTCAGGACGGGAAGTCCGCAAGTCGGGAGGTCCTCAGGTCGGGAAGTTCTCAGGTCGGAATTCTGCGGCAGAACCAACAAGTCAGATGGTTTGCAAGTCGGGAGGATTGGCAGTCGGACCCATACTATTGTAGATTGGCAGTCGGGCCTAAAGGGCGGAAGGTTTGTGGTCGGCTCAAAGAGTGAAATATAGGGATAATTTTGGTCTGCTGAGGACGCGTGTCAGCAGGAGAAGGGTTGGAAGACGGTTGGGAAGGAGGCGTTGTAACCGTTCGGGTGACGGTTTTCGGTACGGTTTCCCAGAGAATATTTAAAGGCTTGGATCATCATTTGGCAAGGCATCTTCAATCAACTTCAACAAAGCAAAGTCAGATTTGGGGATCACCACTTTAAATTTCAGTCTTTTATTTTCCAGTTTATTTTCTGTACCATACAGTGTTTAGAGATTCCTAATCTCAGGCACTAATTAATCAAGTTTAAGGATATTTTCTATATCTTTGAATTTTACTTTATTTTTGTTGAAAAATTACATCAACAATAATAAATTAATTAATTATTTTTAAATAAAATTCAAATTTTAAAAAATTAGAAAATAAAAATATATTAAAAATAAAAATATATAAGACGACGGTTCAAACTGTAATCGAACCGTAATCGAAACTGTCAGACCGTAATCGAACCTGTCATTCGAAAGCTTCGATTTCGGTTTAATATTTTAACAAACCATAACCGGTCGTAATCGGCGGTTTGAACCATTTGGGCAAGTCTACCTTAAAGCCGCAGCAAGTCAGCAGAGGAAAGCCGCTGTCACTAGGAATTTAGGGTTGGGTGCAGGCCACTAATTGAGTTTATGTTTAAAATTATTGAAATAAATAAATAATATATTTTTATTATATAAATATACATATATTAGTTATAATAATTTTTAAAAATTACTTGGGGCAGCGACTAATTGAGCTTAATGTTTAAAATTTTTTCAACAAATAAATAATATATTTTTATTATATAAATATACATATATATTAGTTATAATAATTTTAAAAAATATCCGGGTTCAGGTCCGGGTCTGGGTTGGAACGGATTTTTAGTAAAACCCATGACCTGCTCCAAACCCGACCAGGTTTAAAATTTAAAATTCATAATCCGCCCCGAAACATATTATTTAGACCCGAACTCGTCCCATTAAGAGCGGATTCGGAGCTAACCCGCCCCATTTGACATCCTAGCTGTCACGACAGTGTCAGCAGCCAACACGCAACAGTGAACAACTGAGCATACAGTCGCTGATTCGTTCCCTTTTCAGCTATCAATTGGAATTTCGAAAATTCTCATTGCATATGTATAGGGGTTTGATTGAATCAGATACTTCAGACTTCGAATAGTGCAAATTCGGGTTTTATTTTAGACTATCTGATTATATTAAGCTAGAAATGTCAAAATAAGCTTGAAGAACGGACTAGCCCTCAACTCACCGCAACATACTAATCGGTAGATTTGAGAATTTAGTTGTACAATCTAATCCACCGACAAATGGCAACCTAAAATTGACAACTCAGACCATCTCCAACCCATAACTTTATTTTTGCTCTATTTTTGCAGGTCTGCTACAATAACTCATCTCCGACCATACCCTCTATTTTTGCAGGTATCTTGTACAACAATACCCTCCATTTTTGTAGGGTTACAAAATATTATCTTTATATTTTATTTTACATAATTTTTAAAATTACAAATAAAATTTAATATTTTATTTTTTTTATACATTTAAGTTATAATAATATTTTTAATTAATATTTTAATAAATATTAAATAAATAAATAATTAACTATAAATATTAATTACAAAATTATAATAAAAAATAATAAAATTGAAAGTAACAAAAATAAAATAAAATAAAATATATAAAATATAAGCTTAAAACAAAATAAAATAAATAAAATATAAACAAAATAAAAAAATTAATGAAATTTTTTATTTTGTTGATGATATTTAAAAAATTAAAAATTAAATAAATATAAAAAAGAAATAGATAACTACATAAATAAATAAATAATATTAAAAAAAGTAGATAATTATATAAATAAATAGATAATTGTATTAAAAAAAAAATGCACCAGCTGATTACAGCTGAATACTGTAGCACCCGCTGATTCCAGTGGAATACCGTAGCACCCGCAGTATTCCTGGTGATTCCAGCGGATGAATTCTGCAAAATTACAAGGTGGATTGGAGCAATTTTTTTCTCTCCACCCTGTAAAAATAGAGAAAAATCTCCTCGATTGAAGATAGTCTCATGATATTTTTAGCAATATTAAATCTATTAATATTTTATGCATTGAAGATTTAATAAGCAATCATAGTTGTCAATCTTAAACGACGGGATAGCGGATAAAAGGATAGCCACTATTTGAACTTAATATATATATATATATATGTGTGTATAATTTATTATATATGAAAATTATGAATCAAAATACATATGAAACATTTATAAATTTATCTCATGATTATCATTTCTCCTATTATGTAAAGTCATATACTAGACAGAACAAAATGTCAAACTTTATGATCATAAATAGTTATATAAGCAAAAATAATTTAATCACTACTACTTTGATAAATAAATAATCAAAATTAGTCAAATTCAAAATCTAATACTCCCTCCGTCCCGGACCAAGGTTGCCGTTTACTTTTTGCACGTAAATTTTTTAATATTAGTATTATAATAGATTGTGGTAAAAAAGACGAAAATACTCTTATCAGTATTGTATAATATAAAAGTAATGGCATTTGTGTAATATAGTGTAAGTTGAAAGGGTATTCATTATGTTAGTACATAGTACAATTACTAAATTAAAAAATAGTAACCTTATTTTGGGACGGACGAAAATAAAAAATGACAACCTTTCAATAATAGGACCGAGGGAGTAATTAATTTTCTTCCCATCTTCGTTCCTCTCACTGCCACTCGTGATAGATAACAGTTATATATCCGCTCCAACCTACATGGTTCCTTCACAACAAGCAGTCATGGACCGCAATGGTGCGGTGGTAGCAGCGTTATCAGCTGCCATTGACTGCTATGTAAGCAATGCCAAAATAATAGGTTCTAAAATAATAAAATAAAATTCAAAATATCTCAAAATAAACAATGTCATATCAATTCTTCAAGCTCTTTCTTCCAGCTCCATCGTTAAAATACGCAAACACAATATTTTATAAATCAAATTAATCAGTCATACACGTATCTTCATTTCCTTCTTATCCTCAACTTCTATGCAAAACATTAACTTACACCTTCTGCAATCATACATTAATAAAAATGCTAGATAAAAATCATAATTCCATGAAGCACCTAAACCAAAATCACACAAAAGTGCATAATATAAGAACTAACCCAGGGATCATCTAAACTAATTCCATCAAAAGAAACACAAAAGTGAATCCAATCCATTACAAATCCAGAGAACCAACAAAATTGAAACTAACAACTCCGACTCTCTAAATCAATCTACAATAAACTCAACTAACATCAAATAATTCAAGCCCTAAACACCATAGCAACCGACACTTGTAACATAAATAAATCAAAAAGAGTGTAAGACTTTAACTTACGAAGCCTCGGACGAAACTGTGGACGAAAACAACCATAAGATATGACCCTGTCTTGCAACGACGTCGTAGAAAGGAGATGTGATTACGAGACGAAAAAGACGGCTAACGGTAGGAAAGGAATTTCGGAAGTTGGAAGTCAGTGAGTGAGAGAGAAGAGGAGAAAACCCAAAGACGAACGAAAAAGAGGAGTGCGGCTAGGTCAGGAAGCGATAAAGAGTTGCCCAATCGGTTTTGAACACCGGCGGTTCGCAGGTTTCAAACCGGCGATTTCGGTTCAAATCGGAACCGCCATGAACCGAAACCGGTTTGAGTTCGGTTGCTGTATTATCTGAACCGCGTTTGTTCGCAGGTTAACGTTGTTGTTGTTAACTATTTTAGATGAACAGAGATAACATGTGATACAAAGACATACACTGCATAAATAATATTAATATAATATATATATAGGACATTATATGCAAACAAATAGTATATGACACGTGAACTGATTAATTTCGACGTATGAAAACATATTAATAAAACATACCTACAATTTAAGTTTATACCACTCAAGTGTAATTTGGGTTCGAATTTTATTTATTTTCTCTAAAAAAAACATCTAAAAAAAACATATAAAAGAAGTGTCTTATTAAGAGTTGGCACAAAAATTAAAGAATAATAGTATTTAATTGAAAATGGATATAAAGTAAAATATAAATGACTAAAATGTCTTTGTTTTTTTAAGGATTTTAAAGAGTGTGTTAGAGTAATAATTATGGGTAATACGGAAAAGTAGGAATAATTTTGTTATAAAGTGGAGACTACAACTACTAAATAAGGAAACAAGACAATTGTTTTGAGACGTACGAAAATGGAAAAACTAGGCAAATCTTGGGAGTATATCATATTTATTATTATAAACAATCAAATTTAATTTATGTCTTATTTTTCTTTCTTCTCATTATTATTTTTTTAGTCCCGAGGAAAGTTACTGTTATAGGAAAATATTTTAAGAAATTCTGATGGTAATGATTTATTTCTATTACGTTAACTGCATTTACATTATTGAAGTTAATTTGATTTTTTTGTTATCTATTTACTATTTTTTATTTAATTAGTTATTATTTGCCAT